TGAGCCAAGATTGCACCACTGCACTCCAGCTGGGTGACAAAGCCAGACCCTGCCAAAGAAAGAAAGAAAGAAAGAAAGAGAGAAAGAGAGAAAGAGAGAAAGAGAGAGAGAGAGAGAAGGAAGGACAATGAAAATATGTTTGTAATGCTTTAATACAGTAAGATGGCTGCATACAAAATTGAGTCTCCATTTACAATAGCAACAATAACAAAAATAAACACTTAGAATATGCAAGAACTAGATGAAAACTTTAAGATGCTCTTTTTTTTTTTTTTTGAGACTGAGTCTCGCGCTGTCGTACAGAACGGAGTGTAGTGGTGGCGCCATCTCAATTCACTGCAACCTCTGCCTCCTGGGTTCAAGCAATTCTCCTGCCTCAGCCATCCACGTATCTGGGATTACAGGCATACGCCACCATGCCCAGCTAATTGTTGTATTTTTATTAGAGACGGGGTTTCACCATGTTGGCCAGGTTGGTCTTGAACTCCTGACCTTGGGTGATCTGCCCACCTCAGCCTCCTAAAATGCTGTGAGATTACAGGTGTGAGCCACCGTGCCCAGCCCTGTATCTGTTTTATACATCTATTTAAACATACAAAAATCAAAATTTTGTGCATATGTGGTCACACATGCACACACACATACACACACACACACACAAAAACCTGAACAACAACAACAACAAGATGTATAATTGGCCTGGGTGACACAGTGAGACTCTGTCTCAAAAAAAAAAAAAAAAAAGAGAGAGAGAGATACCATATTCTTGGATAGGAAGACTATATTAGTGAAGATAAGCTAGGTTTTGCTGTTTTTTAATAAAAATCCCAAGCCTCAGTGGCTCAAAACAACAAAAAATTTGCTGGGCGCGGTGGCTCACGCTTGTAATCCCAGCACTTTGGGAGGCCGAGGCAGGTGGATCACCTGAGGTCGGGAGTTCAAGACCAGCCTGACCAACATGGAGAAACCCCGTCTCTACTAAAAATACAAAATTAGCCGGGGTGGTGGCACATGCCTGTAATCCCAGCTACTCGGGAGGCTGAGGCAGGAGAATCGCTTGAACCCGGGAGGCGGAGGTTGCGGTGAGCCGAGATCGCGCCATTGCACTCCAGCCTGGGCAAAAAGAGCGAAACTCTGTCTCAAAAAACAACAACAACAACAACAAAAAATTAACTTGTTGCTCATACTATGAATTCATCATGGCTTGGCAGGGAGTGAACTTCCCTGTATTCTTTCAGGGACATGTTTAAAGGAACAATCACCTTGAACATTGTGGGTTATTATGCCAGAGGAAAAAGAAACTCTGTAGGTCATCAAACCAACAATGACAAGCTCAGCACAGAAATAACATCAATTCTGCTCACATCTCATTGACAAGTGCTGGCAAACAGCGCTAATAATGACCTCAAAGACTGCATCATAAAAAATAAAACGAAAATAACAGAGAATGGAAGTGATCAATAGGCAGATCAATAGAAAATAATAGCTGGGCGGCCAGGTGCGGTGGCTCGTGCCTGTAATCCCAGCACTTTGGGAGGCCGAGGCGGGCAGATCACGAGGCCAGGAGATCGAGACCATCCTGGCTAACACGGGGTGACAGAACCGGCACGTCCTCTAACACAAAAATACAAAAAGATTAGCTGGGCGTGGCGGGCTCCTGTAAGTCCCAGATACTCAGGCAGGCTCGAGGCAGGAGAAATGGCATGAACCCAGGGAGCGGCCGACGATCGATGCCCACTCTAGCATACTCCAGCCTGGGCGACAGAGCAAAAGACCCGTCTCAAAAAAAAAAAAAAAGAAAAGAAAAAGAAAGAAATAACTACTGGGCGTGGTGGCTCACACCTCAATCCCAGCACTTTGGAGGCTGAGGTGGAGTGCCGATCACCTGAGGGTGCAAGGAGTGTCCAGACCAGCGCTGGCCACCAATGGTGAAACCGGCATCTCTATAAAAATCAAAAAAATTAGCTGGGCATGGTCGCACCATGCTCCAGCACTCGCTGGAGGCGCTGAGGGCAGGATAATCGCTTGAACTCAGAGGGAGTTTGCCAGGAGCCATAGATCATCCGCATTGCCTCCCAGCCTGGGCAAACATGGAGCACTGCCATCTCAAAAACAAAAAAGAAAAAAATTCCCTCGAAGTAAATAGGTTCGGTAATTGTTAAAGATGCCCCAGGAAACTTGTATTGCCCTAACATACCAGTTTTCTGATATTTCAACTTTTAAAAATGCAAGGAAGGGGGAGGGCCAACAGGCCGGCGTGTGGCGTGAGGTGGGTAACAGCACTCTGGGAGGCTGAAGGCGGATCACCTGAGGAGCAATGCCTGGCCTAACACAGTGAACCCCTGTCTTACTCAAAAAAAAAAAATAGAAAATCTAGCCGAGCGATGGTGGGGGCGCTGATCCCAGCTATCGCGGAAGCATCTTGAAGCAGAGACGCAAACCAGGGACAGATTGGCAGTGAGCTGAGATCGTGGACTGCACTCTACGCTGGGAACAGAGCAAGACTCCGTCTCAAAAAAAAAAAAAAAAAAAAAAATCAGGACCAGGACCTGCTGCTTGCTGCCTCCAGGTCCCCCCAACAGCAAATTTGCCATGGCAACAACCTCCTACATAATCTGCCATCTCCCTTTGTTTTTATGTTTGTTTGGTTGGTTTTTTAATTTTGTTTTTGTTTGTTTGTTTGTTTGTTTGAGACGAAGGCACAGTCTTGCCTCACTGCAACCTCTGCCTCCCAGGTTCAAGCAATTCTTCTGCCTCAGCCTACTGAGTAGCTGGGACTACATGTGTGTGCCACCATGCCTGGTAATTTTCTTTTCTTTTTTTTTTTTTTGAGATGGAGTCTCGCCCCGTTGCCCAGGCTGGAGTGCAATGGCGCCATCTCAGTTCACTGCAACCTCCGCCTCCTGGGTTCAAACGATTCTCTTGCCTCAGCCTCCTGAGTAGCTAGGATTACAGGCACCCACCACCACGCCCAGCTAATTTTTGTATTTTTAGTAGAGACGGGGTTTCACCATGTTAGCCAGGCTAATTTTTTGTATTTTTTTTTAAATAGAGATGAGGGTTCACCGTGTTGGCTAGGGTGGTCTTGAACTCCTGACCTCAAGTGACCCACCTGCCTTGGCCTCCCAAAGTGCTGGGATTACAGGCATCAGCCACTGCACCCTGCCTGTATTTACTTGTATATATTTTTTTAAAAATAAAAAAAAATTATTTTTTTATTTTTTCCTGAGATGGAGTCTTGCTCTGCCCCCCTGGCTGGAGTTCAGTGGCTCAATCATGGCTCACTGCAACTTCCGCCTCCTGGGTTCAAGCAATTCTCTTGCCCCAGCCTCCCAAGTAGCTGAGATTCCAGACACGTGCCACCATGCCCGACTAATTTTCGTATTTTTAGTAGAGACTGGGTTTCACCGTGTTAGCCAGGATGGTCTTAATCTCCTGGCCTCGTGATCTGCCCGCCTCGGCCTCCCAAAGTGCTGGGATTACAGATGTGAGCCTTTTTTTTTTTTCATTAAAAATTTTTTTTGTGGGTACATAGTAGGTATATATATTTTGGGGATACAGGAGATGTTTTGATACAGGCATGCAATGTATAATAATCATATCAGGGTAAATGGGGTATCCATTGCCTCAAGCATTTATCCTTTGTGTTACAGACAATCCAATAATCCAATTATATTCTTTGTTATTTTTAAATGTACAATTACATTATTATTGACTATAGTCACCCCGTTGTGCTTTCAATTGCCAGATCTTATTCATTCTATTTTTTTGTATCCATTAACCATCTCTACTTTCCCCCGACCCCCACTACCCTTTCTAGCCTCTGGTAACCATCCTTCTCTTTTTTTTTCTTGAGACTGGGTCTCACTCTGTCACCCAGGCTGGAGTGCAGTGGCACGATCTTGGTTTACTGCAGTCTCAACCTCCTGGGGCTTGAGTGATCCTCCAAGCTGAGCTTCCTGAGTAGCTGGGACTACAGGCATGCACCATCATGCCCAGCTAATTTTTTGTATTTTTTTGTAGAGACAGGGTCTCAATTTGTTGTCCAAGCTGGTCTCAAACTCCTGGGCTCAAGTGATCCTCCCCCCTCAGCCTTCCAAAATGCTGGGATTACAGATGTGAGTCACTGCACCTGTCCCATCCTTCTACTCTTTATGTCCATTAGTTCAATTGTTTTAATTTTTAGCTCCCACAAATAAGTGAGAACATGTGAAGTTTGTCTTTCTGTGCCCGGCTTATTTCACTTAACATAATGACCTCTAGTTCCATCCATGTTGTTGCAAATGGCAGGATCTCTTTTTATTATTATTATTATTATTATTTTATTTTGAGGCAGAATCTGACTCTCTCACCCAGGCTGGAGTGCAGTGGCACGATCAGCTCATTGCAACCTCCACCTCCCGGGTTCAAGTGATTCTCCTGCCCCAGCCTCCCAAGTAATTCTGGGATTACAGGTGCACGCAACCATGCCTGTCTAATTTTTGTATTTTTTTGCAGAGATAGGATTTCACCATGTTGGTCAGGCTGGTCTCGAACTTCTGACCTCAAATGATCCACCTGCCTCAGCCTCCCAAAGTGCTGGGATTACAGGCATGAGCCACCATTCCTGGTCTCATTCTTTTTTATGCTATTTCCCATTTTAAAAATCATACATTTCTGGTGAACCAAAAATGATGAAAGAAATTCAGAATAAGTGGAAAGCATCTCTAAACTTTTGAAGTTGATATTTTGGAGACCAACCATGATCCAGAAAATATACTTGGCTTCTCTGCTGGAGATATATATGGATGAAATGGATCATATTATATGTCATTTCTTATTTTCCAAAAAATATATCTCCTTTTGCTATCTTAAACAGGCTTCCTTCTCATAGACCTTATATAAGACAGTCTTTTAGAACATATGGTCTGACAAATATGAATATACTTCTGGGACAATGACAGAAAATATTTGCAATCAGAACTAAACCAGAAAACTAGACATATAATAATTGTATCTACCTGGCATACTGGATCAGCCTATAGGCAATGTACTTGCGGAATAGGTATCCCAACTGAACCGTGTCCGTATGAAGTATCTCAATTATGAGAGTTCTAGCCGTTGTGTGCAGCTGTGAAGGGAGTCCACAAGTTTTTATAGCCTGATTTAATAGTATCAGGTTCTTCTTCTGAGCCTCCACATCAACAAAATACCTCTTTTCTTCAAGTTCTTGAGGAGAGGAAGGGGGCACCATTATTTTGGGTTTCTTGGTACCTGAAACTGAACTCAGTATCCAGGGCTTGTCTATAGGAGGGAATCGGGATTTCTGGTACCATTCCAAAGGTGAAATCTGTGATGTTTTGAGTAGAGTAGTGAGAGAAGATAGTGATGTAGGCTTCATGAGAGTGGGAAGGGCCCCTTCACCAGTGTAAGGGGTTTGGGATACTGGGGTCCTGTATTTGGTGAGATGGGACTGAAATGTTCTAAATGATTCCATAGCAAAAGGATCTCGAAGTATCTGGGTTTCTTCGGAAGTGTCAGAGACCTCCGGCATTTGGAACTTCTTAGTGGTGAAAGGTACTTGAGCTACCTTGAAAGCTGGAGCACGAGGATGGATCAGTGCTGATTTAGATGTCAGAGAAGAAATAATTGCCGATCTTTTCTTAGCAACAGAAGGGGACCAACCTTTCTGGGGCTTTCCAGGGGCTGGGGACGGCCAGAGTGTGGGAGGATGTCTAGAGGTGGGAGGGATCCATAATGAAGAAGCTAGCCCAGGAAGGGTCCATGGTGCCAGATGCTGCCCAGAGGTAGGAGCCTGCAGATAGGGAGATTGTTCAACAGTGGCAGGAGGCTGGAATTTCTGGAGCTGCTCAGAGAAGGTTAAGGGTCCAGATTCCAGGAGGTCCCCAGGGATGGAAGAGGCTTCAGGAACTAAGCGCTGCCCAGGAGAAAGAGGAGCCCAGAGACTTGGAATCTGTCCAGAAGTGGGTGGGACTCCAGCTATAAGACGCTGCCTGGGGGCAAGAGGGACGTTTGACATCTGAGGTGGCGGAGGAGTCAGAGAGGCCCTAGTTATGAAAAGCTCCCTAGAGCTAAAGGCCTCCAGTTCAAAGGGCTGCCCTGGAGTGGGAGGGGCCCCAAATATTGGGAGCTGCCCAGGGGTGGGAGGGGCCTGTGGTGCCGGGAACTGCGCAGAAGTGGATTGACCTCCGTATACCAGGGTCTGTCCAGAGGAACGAAGAGTCTGTGGTGCCCCAAGCTTCCCAGGCTCAGAAAGAATCCCCATTTCTAGGGGCTTCCCAGGGGGAAAGGGGCCTTGGTTGAGGGGAACCCTTGATATCGGCAATATAGAGGACTTCTCAGGAGTAGGAACTGATGATGCCAGGGACAGCCTAAGGCTTGGAGACAATCTTGATATGATGGATTGCCCAGTGGGGAGAGAAGCCTTCGGTTTCTGAAATGGTTTATGGGACCACTGGACTTCCTTAAGGGTGAGGGGCGATCCCAAGGTATGGGCTTTATCTAAGGTGAGAGGAACCCCTAACTTCGATAACTGTTCTTGAGCCTGTTCTAAGTTGATAGGGGACTCCAAAACCTGGGTTTGCTCAGGGGTAAGAGTGACAGCTGACACCCAGGCATTTACTGGGGTGATGGGGACTCCCAGTGCCTGGGCCTGCTGAGGGATGAGAGTGATCCCCTGAGCCTGCACCTGCTGAGGGGTGAGAGGGATCCCCAGGGCCTGCACCTGCTGAGGGGTGAGAGGGATCCCCAGGGCCTGGGCCTGCTGAGGGGTGACAGTGATTCCCTGAGCCTGGGCCTGCTGAGGGGTGAGAGGGATCCCCAATTCCTGAGCCTGCTGAGGGGTGAAAGGGATCCCCAGGGCCTGGGCCTGCTGAGGGGTGAGAGGGATCCCCAATTCCTGAGCCTGCTGAGGGGTGAGAGTGATCCCCTGAGCCTGCATCTGCTGAGGAGTGAGAGGGATCTTCCAGGGCCTGGGGCCTGCTGGAGAGGCCGTGAAGAGGGATCCCCCAATTCCTGAGCTGCTGAGGGGGGTGGAGAGGGATCCCCTGGGAGGACTTGTGCCTGCTGAGGGGTGAGAGGGATCCCCAATTCCTGGGCCTGCTGAGGGGTAAGAGGGATCCCCAGGGCCTGGGCCTGCTGAGGGGTGAGAGGGATCCCCTGAGCCTGGGCCTGCTGAGGGGTGAGAGGGATCCCCAGTTCCTGAGCCTGCTGAGGGGTGAGAGTGATCCCCAGGGCCTGAGCCTGCTGAGGGGTGAGAGGGATCCCCATCTCACCCTCAGGGCAAGCAGGCCAGGAATTGG